TGATTTAGAGATGTGAATTTCCAAGGGCTTTAGTGCCTTTACTAGAGAGTCAACTGTTGAATAACTCCAACCCTTGTGCCACAGAAGTGAAAGTTTCCAGTCTGCAGAGTAATCAGGCTCTGGCTCCATGGGAAATATTTGACAGTGGGATCAATTTATTGTTGGGTTTTGGTCTTTTTAGGGGATCTGTTGACAAGAAAATGTAGAATAGAAGCAGCAGCTCTTAAAAATGGCCACCACTTTACTGAGGCAACTCATGACACTCAGAGCCACAAGTGTATTACATTGTTTATTCTGCAAATACCATCTGTAAAAATTATACATCAGGCTTTAGTATGGAACTCTAATAAAAGTTCACAGTTCTTTTACAGTCAAATGTATTCTTAAGAAAGTTCCATAAAAACAAATGTAGACGTCAGTGACGTAAAGAAGCACTTGATGCTACAACACAAACCAGATTCCATATAATCTAATGTAATGTGTGACTTTTATTGTTTCAGACACAACAGGGTGCTTGCCCTCTTTGGGTGAAACAATACCAGACATTTTCCCTTCACTGAACAATTTCATGTCCTGTTCAACCAAAGGCTATGTACAGATGACAAATGAAACAAGTTCATCAAGATGTCCAAAAATAACCTCGACATGAACAAATGAACATCTGATGCTGTGAACAGCCAAGCTAGCACATTTAAAGTAAGTTGCAAGCATGACATCAAAGTGTGTGAGTGCATGATGGTTGAGAGAGGGAAAAGAAAAAAAACAAGGTTCTTTTGACTGACTTTAAGGCTGAGGCAAGCACCCTGTAGCAAAGAGCGTGCAGTTTTTCGTACCTTGGAAACTATGAACAGTCTCTCAACAGCCCACCGATCCTCATTTGGGGACTTGGCCGATAACTATCCACACCCAACCCCCACCCATGATCAACATCTGCTGAGGTGTCGATCTCGACCACACTTCTTCCTCTACACCTACCCTTTCTCTCTCTCTTTAACTTTGTTTCTCTCAGTCCAGCAGGCAGGCGAGACAACTGCAGCAGAAAAATGTCAGCCCTGCCCCTCCACAATTACCACCACTCCCGGACTCCCTTCTGAAGGGAAAATAGCAGATGGAAGGATGGAGGTGGGGGGGGGGGGAGAAGGTAGGGAGTGGGGGTGGAGTTTGTGGCTTTAGTGTCCATCTCACGTAGCGAGGGGAGGTCATGCCTACCTCTAGGGGTGTGAGCAAGTAGGAGGGAGAGGGAGGGATGGTTTCAAGGCCCATTTCCATCCAGCGATCCTGTTACAACATCTGCCATCTTTTACTCAGACTCCCGGCACCAAGACCACCTGTGTTGTGAACTCCATCCTCAGACAAAAGGCCTTTTCAATTGGTTCCTGAATAAAAAAATAAATAAAAATGTATCCTTCAATCTGACAATACACTCCAGAAAATGTATAAATTTCCTTCATGGTTAGACACAGTATACTGGTGATAGACATGTATTTGTTCAAAACAAAATTACATGTCTCTTGGTGGCAAAAAAAAAATGTTACGGTGGAACATAAAAACAATGATTGTGTCAGTGAGTAATGAGGCGTGCTGTGCTATTACTCACTCCTATTTACAATTTACCATTTAGCTTTGTCATATGTGAAAGGAAAGTAGGTTTTGGATTATTAGGACAAAATCTACATATTGCAGATTTCACCTTGATAGTTGCAGCCCTAGTCTGGTTCACAGTATGTTATACTCTGCTTAAGGGAACTTTTATATTGTACATGTCATTCTAAAGACTACTATAGATATGAAAACTACCTTCAGAAGGATTCACAGTCTTGTCAGCATTGGCCTCCTCTGCTTCTGTTGTGACACCACACACCTCCGTCCCTCCTCCTGACTGCGGCTCCAAAGGCGAGGATCCCGTTCGTGCTGCGCCTGGTGCAACCTGGTGCCTCGGCCCTGTCGAATGAGCAGCAGCGGTTTGCTTCATCTGAGGTGAAGATGCCTTGGTAGAGAACCAATGTTGCACCAAGTCCGCTGTTAAACCACTAGCCTGAGCCAGTTCGTACAACTGAGTCGGATAACACAGAACCAAACAGAAAATCATCTTGGTTAGGTCACAGCTTCAGGTTAAAGGTCACTGAACCATTCTGTGTTGATCACAAATTTTAAAGTCCTCATTAAATTGAATAACATGGGTAAAATAAAAACATCCTGTAACAAAAGCAAAGCTATAAGCAGACTGACTCAGTAATGTCAGTTACCAACACTAGCAACCAACATATTTAATTAAAATTTCACAAATGATGTGTTGAAGATTTGACATGTATTTTCAACCATTAAGCTTCCAGGTGTCTTATCTGTTATGATGTTCTGGTCATGTTTCTCTGTGCAATCAATGAACAGATTAAAACTGAAAGAACTGAATTGGTTTACTTAAGATAATTTTTTTTTTCAAATATTTGTGTTGTAGAAACATGCTCCAAAACTTTACTTAATGTGGAGAGGTGCTGCCAAAGCCTCCTGTGACCCAGACTCATTGAACAGCACTGGTAGCAGTGCAGAGATATTAACTTCTAAAAGGTTTTGTGCAGGACTGCCCTCTCTAACCAGTTGTAATTTCATGACAAATATCTGAAGAGCAGGGCAGAGCATGTCGAGCACAGTGGAGCAGGGAGAGTGCTCAGTGGAGCAGTGTGGCTTGATTAGAGTTTCATGCTAGTTCTCCTTTAAGTTGCATACTGTGGCTTCAAGTATTTTTGAAGCAGTTGACAATGTGTCATCTCCCAAAGCTTAAAAAAAGAGGTACTTTGTGGAGTCACTTGTTATGAGTACATTTTCTCCTACAGTGCACTTTGCTAAAGTGAACACAACTGAGGCTAACACACACAAAAAAAAACTTCCTGTTATATCTCTTTTTAATCATCATCATCTTCTTTTTTCGGCTGTTCCCATTAGGGGTCGCCACAGCAAATCATCTGTTTCCACCTAACTCTATCCTCGGCATCCTCTACTCTCATCCCATTTAACTTCATGTCCTCTTTTAGCACATCCATAAATCTCCTCTTTGGCCTTCCTCTTGACCTCTTGCCTGGCAGCTACATCTCCAACATTCTTCTACCAATATTACCAATATCCCTCCTCTGTACATGTCCAAACCATCTCAGTCTGGCCTCTCTGACCTTGTCCCCAAAACAGCCGACCTGAGCTGTCCCTCTGATGTGCTCATTCCTAATCCTGTCCATCCTGGTCACTCCTAAAGAGAACCTCAACATCCTCATCTCTGCTACAGTCTCTAACCCATACAGCATAGCTGGTCTCACTACTGTCTTGTACACCTTTCCTTTGATTCTTGCTGCCACTCTTCTGTCACACAACACTCCTGACACCTTTCTCCGCCCACTCCAACCTGCCTGCACTCGCCTCTTCACTTCTTTCCTACACTCCCCATCCTTTTTTAATAATAATAATTAATCATAGCAGTACAAATTAATAATCTGCTTTTCAGGTTTCAGATCCACTGAATTCCTTTAGATCAAACTGTGTAAACACTACTTGTTGTTAGTACCTGTGATTCTTCCAGCTTGCCATGTACATCAAGGTGGGCCTGGAGGATCTCGGTGTTCCCCTTCTGAAGGTCCTCCTTTAGAGCCATGTCTTGGTATGCCTCCAGCCACTTCAGCTGACCATTCTTCTGCACATAACGGCAATCCCCGAACCAGCGCACCACTTCAGGTCTGGGCAGTGCAGTGGCTGAGATGAGTTCATCGTACTGAGCTGCACTGGGCCACTGGGTCCGAGCATAGACCTGCTTGAGCAAGTGAAGCTGCTCTGCTGTCTTCTTACCTCGGATAGCAGTGGGTTTGGGAGAGTGGGATGGTTTGGGTGTTGGGGTGGAGGACTGGGATTGTTTGGGGGTGGAGGAAGGAGTCTGGCCTGGGGAGGATGCAGGTGTGCTGGAGAACTGAACCGGTAGAGCGGGGCTATCCACCTCCTCACCCTCTGCTTTGCCATTGGCCTCCGTCACCTTCAGCATCTTCAGGTTTATTTTAATAGGGTTCACTTTCAGTTCCCCTGAACAGTCCTCTCTCTGTCGCTCCTCCCCATCTACCTCCAGCTCCTCCTCCTCTCTCAATGCTCGCTCTGCTGCCTCTTTCTTTTTCTCAGCTGCCACTCTCTTCCTTCTCTCTGCAAACCAACCATGGATCTCCCTTCTGGTCATCTTGGTCTCAGATCGCAGTCTGTCTACTTCTTCTCCTGATGGGTCAGGGTCCTGGGAAAAGCTGGCCTCTAGTGCCTTTACCTAAACATGACACAAATATAGACAAGGTCAACAGCTTGGAGGAACTAAATACACACAGATTAATCCATGTGCTGAAGATTAGTTTTTCTGTTATATATCACTGCAAACTAAATAACTTTGGGTTCTTAACTGTCAGTTGAATGAAATAAAATGTAAAGATGCCAGCTTGGTGTCTAGGAAATTGTGATGGTCCTTTTCAGTATTTTCAGACTTCCATATACTAAATTATGAATTGATTAATGAGTAGCCAAAGATTTAGCATTACACTCCTAACTAAAATATTTCAGACTCACAGTGGACAGTTTAAAAACTAAAGGACAGAGATATATCACCTTTTTTTACACAGCCAACATCAGTTCAGAAACTCAGGTTTACTATACTAATAGCAGCTAACGTAGCCTCAAGGCCAAACCTCACACAAAGAGGAGAAGCTACAGAGGTCTGCTTAGATGCTTCTTTCCAACTCCACACTCCATTTTTTTCCCATTTTCAAACTCGCCCTCGGTGTAGCGTTGTTAGTGTTAAGTCTGAATTTATCTGATTATCTTTGCTCAGCTCCCTCTAGAACCACAACAGGTTTTATACACCTTTTTTTGCAGTAGCACTCCCCCTGAAAACAGTTTGTTTGTAAAATAGGTGGAGCTCCCTTTAATAATAATTTTTTTAAAAATCAGCTCTAGAACTAAGTAATCACATGTAAAACATTTTGGCAACCTACATGACCTTCTCAGTATTATGTCCTAGGGTTACTACACACCAAGGGCAGAGCCTCTCACCTGGTGGGGTTCTCTCTCCTTGTAGCGAATGGCTGTGAAATCAGGAGACGGTGGTCTGGGGAGTCGGCGGGAAGGTGTGGTGGGTGAGGTGGGAGTCTGTGTTGCACTTGGACTCAAGGGTGTAGAACTGTGCTGGGGTGTTTTTGCACTAGAGTTGCTGCCACTTTCTGACAGGTCGACGGGGTTGGTGGTGCCACTCCCTGGCATACCTCAACCGCTCGCTGTTCGCATTGCCAGACTTATTCTGTACACCCGTGCTGGTGCGTGAACCTTTGAGGTTGCGAAAGTGGTAGCGCCGGTCACTGAACCACTTGCGGACTTCTCGCACTGTGAGCCCAGTAAGTGCAATGAGGCGGTCAACCTCCTCCTGGTCGGGAAATTGGCTGACCTGAAAACTATCTTTCAGAGCGCTGAGCTGCTCCTGAGACTTCTTGCCCTTGTAAAAGCTGGGGTCGAGGAATGCATTAACAGGTGTACGAGAGCCAGGTGTGCTGCTTGAAGGAGCTGCAGGAGAGGGAGAAGAGGATTTGGAGGCAGGGGAGGACGCCTCCTCCATTTTGATGGTTGGAGAGTCACTGGAGGTGGGCTCAACATCATCTGTTGTCGTTGTTGTTGTTGTTGTTGTTGTTGTGCTAGTTGTGGTGCATTTGTTGCTGCTACCGTTAGTATCTTTGGTCTTCTGTCCATCACTGTCTGCTTTGCTGTTATTGTTAACAGGCTTGTCGTCTGTGGTTGTTTTGCTGTCACACTGCACTGTTCTGGTGCTGCTGGCTTTGCTGATATCAGTCTTCTTAGTGTTCGCATGGCTGGTAACACTACTATTGCTCTTGTCACTGCAGTCTGCATTCAAACTGCTGTGTTTACCACTGACACTGCTCACCTTACCATTACTATAATTACTGCTTCCAAGACTAAGGTTGATGACACTAGCTTGACTGCTACTGGTAATACTGTTGGTGCCCCCTCCCCCACTCCTAGTACTGTTACTGCTGCTGATGATGTTGCTCCCAGTACTGCTGGTACCCACTGTCCCCACCACCATGCTGACGCCTTTGTCTGCCACCAGGGCTGCAGCAGGTCGGGCCTGCATCATGGGGCGGGCAGCTGCCTGGGGCTTTGGTGTGACAGCCAGGGCCACAGGAGCACTGTTAACCTGGATACCATTGGCCATTACAGGCTGTGTAACAATTACCCCTCCTTGGCTGACAAGAGATCCCTGCAGGATATGTGGGATCCCTGAGGCCCCTAGTGATGCAGGCAGGACTGTTATTGTGTGCTGGGCTGGGCTGGGATGACTCTGGGTCTGGTTTTGCGAGGTGGAGGGTGCTGTCTGGATGATGGTGTTGAACATCTTCCTCCTGGCCTCCTCAATCTCCTCAGGAGACCAGCTGATGCCTTGTTTAAGTCTCTGGGCCGTGAACCAAATTTTGATCTGCTCTTCAGGGAACTTTGTGACCACAGTCAGGTAGCAGAGCTCAGCCTTTGTGGGGTATGGAAACTTACTGAAGGAGGTTTTCAAGAAGGAAGAGGAGTCCATAGAGGCACTGTAGGTAGGGATGCTGCTCAAAGGAATCATCACCTGGGAGTAAAAATGTTCAAAGAAGAGCAGGAGATTATTATATTATTTGATATCCACTTCATAACACAACAGTTGTACATTAAAAACAATTACCTTGGGGAGATTTTTGGAGGAGGAAGGAGAGGAGGTGGAGAAAACAGAGGAGGGTGTGATTGGTGCAGACTGATGAAGACTTCTGTTTTGAACCACTGAGACCACCTATTGGAGACATTATAAAGAAAATTAACTATTCAAATGCCAAATCAAAACAAACCAACAAAAAGAACTACCTCCTACCTGTGTGATGGGGGTCTTCAGCATTGGTAATGCTCCAGAGCCGTTGACTATCTGGATCGCAGAGGGCAGCGTGACCTTGGTGGCTCCGTTGTGGACTATTGTGGGAACATGCGTGACCGTTGCTGCAGCAGTCTCTTTTCTCTCAGCCTCTCTAGAGGCAGACATAGAGTGAGGGTCTGAAGAAGGCTCATCAGAGACTGGGTGAGCCACCACTATGCGTTTAGGCTCCGATTTGCCCTTCAGCATCCTCATAATTGGGGTTTTGGTGATGGAAATCTCACCGTCCTTCCCCGACTCTGTCCCTGTCACCAGATTCTGCTCCACCACAACCCTCCTGTCTCTCTTTCTCAGCTGCAAAGTGGTGTTTAATGTGCTGGGGTGAACCCTAGCATTGTGCAGGGCCAGGCCCTCAAACTTGGGTGCTGAAACCCCACAGCTCACACAAAAAAAGCTGGGGTCTCCACGGAAATCTGGGTGCCCAGTGTACACGTGATCCAAGAACAAGTTAAGGTCATGGGTTTCAAAGTTACAAGGCTTACAGGTGTAAATGCCAGCGCCATCTTTGACAGTGTCCACTGCCTCTGGTTTGGAAGACTCTCCGGGATCCAGGGGGCTACGTTGGCCCCCTCCAGAAATCCTGGACTGACGGAGAAGAACTGGAGAGTCCTGTTCTACCTCCTCTGAAGGGCGTATGCTCTTGCTAGGTATCATACAGGGAGTAGTGGACTTTCTCTTGCTGGCCATGGTACAACCACAGAGTGGAGGGGGGTGGTCAAATGGCAGAGTGGGGTGTGAATGACAATACGAGTCGTTTCCGGTTGACTATAGACCAGGCATGGGGGAAGGACGACAGAGGGACTTATCCATAGGTCCACTTACAGTTCTCACTGCAATTTTGAGGGAAAACCTGGAATTGAGGGAGGACAACATATTTTAGTTCAGGTCCATCAGTCATCAGTCACCATACATCACTACATACCTGTAATTAGTTGGATAGGTTTGGTTAGTGGCATAAAATAAGAAATTTCAATTACAAATGAGAGAAAAGATGACAGAGGTATAAGAAATAAGACAGGATATCTTACGGTTTCCTCCCAGCTGGAGGAAAATTATGCACGGCTGGATGTTTCCAGGCAGAATATCAACAGCACAGGTAATGATAATAATAAGGCCTTATGAAAAGATCCAGCTGAAATCATTAATCTTTAAGTAAAAATAAAATCAAGTCTTCTCTTCAACTCCCCTGTGAAACTCAAGGGTATCTCTTCTAAGAACATTCAAACAAGCTGTCTGCTTCTTCACCAAACGCTTTTTGGGAGAGCTCCTGTCCTACCCCATTCATTCCCCTCCCCCACACAACTCTGTCTCACTTCCCCTCGTTCAGACACACCCCCACAGAGAGAGCACATTCTGTTTTGTTTTTTTTTTAATCCAGAGCCTCTGCATCTTCACTGAAAACATTCATAAAAGCTGCCACAAAAACACTCACTTGTGAAGGTGTCGCTTAAGATTGCGTCTACTTGACAATCATGCAGGTGGGTGGTTGCACAGATGTTCCTCGGAGAGATGGCGTCCTCACCCAACAATGGTACAGACAGAAACATACAAACCTGCACAAGAATATGAATCTTAAAATTTTCATTTCACCTCAAGATCCTTCTTCTCCATACAAAATGGTGACGCTTCCTGTGGAGTTTTCCCCTCCCTCTGACAGAGAGGTAGTGATGCAGCAGTGGAGGACAGCTCTAGGGTAATTACTCTCCCAATCACTCTGCATCGACATGACACCTCACACACAGTGCACCAAACAAAAGTTCAGGAAAATCCAAAAAAACATCACAAAGTGCAACCCCTTCCTATCTAAAGACATTTTACTAACAAATCTAAACCAAATGCAACTTTTCTAATAGACAGCCCACATCTAAAATAACTTTGTCCCTTCATATGTATAAAGAGAACAGCTCTATGAAAATATTAAACTTGTCTGGCACCAGTTTCAGTCTGAGCACGACCCCTGCTGTGACATCATCATCATCTCAGTCGGGTAAGCAGCAAATTCCAAGTCACTGTCATACAATGAACTTGCCCTTCTCCATTTAAATATAACTTTTTTTCAGCTGCAACTGTTTTCTTTGCCTTATACCCACAAATACACACACAGAAAGATCATGGTACATTAGCTCAAAGCCCAGTTAACCCTCACAAGATTGGAGTGTGGCAGATGCCCTTTCACAACCTGACTGAGCAAAGGTATAGAGAATTCATTTTCCAGAAGTCTACAACCTCAGTTATGAGTCAACAGAAATAGCTCAGGTACAGTCTACATCTTGCTAACCTTTGAAAATCAACACCATGAATAATCAGACAATTATGAGATACTTCATTAAAAAAAATGTAATCACAGTTACATCATACTGGTCATCTCATCCTGTTTTTCACCAGCCCTCTCTTTGGATCCGAGTGTGAGGGGTTAACAGTCAAATGAAGTTTGCTACTGTGGGAGGGAACCCGTGCACCCCCCAGAGAGAGTAACTGCCCTTGGTTTGGGCTGTTGTGCACCCCTCCTACTCCCCTGCCATTCAGTTCTGCATCAGGGGGCACCGCTCTGCCAAGGCAGCCTGGTCACATGACCAACACAAAGGCTTATGGGTGGGCAGTCTCAGCTAACCGTCACAGGGTGTGAGTGAGCAGTCGAGAGGAGAGGAAGAGCAAACGGGAGAGGGTGGTGGGGGATGGGTAGCCGGTTTGGGGTGAGGGGGCAAGGGAAGGAGGAGTGTTGAGGAAGCACTAAGGTGTTTCAATGAGGAATTTTCTTCCCTGATATCCCCCTCCAACCAGCCAATACCATACCAGCCCACCCTGCCAACCCCGGCTCCTAAACACCCCCCTACGTCTGGCTCCAAAACTACAATCACACAGACCTCCCCTACTCTCTCCCTCCCTCCCTGCTGCACTGCAAAGCCTGGAATGTTCCAACCCAAGCTCAGTGGACATAACCTGGAGTTCAGCTTCAGTGTCTATATGTGCACACATGCATTTCATTGTGTCGTGCAAAATAATTACTCTAACACTGTGGTGAATACAGAAGGTGTCAAAGCATAAAATACATCCCTTCGCACATATCAACAGCCATGAACACTGCTACACTGGTGACAAAGTTCACATTATACACTGATGGCATACAAGAAATCAAAACCACATCTGCAGACAAAAGCTGCAGCAAGGACAGTTACCAGCAGAGACCCACAGGCCCCACACAGGTGAGGACTGAAACAATGTGACCGGAGCCATTTTCGGCAAGTCAAAATGAACAGCTCGCGCCTTAGCAACGCCAGGCTTGGGCGACTTCTGTTGACTCACTGGTATGAGTGCATTGGCCAGTAACTTTAATTTGAATGCTGCATACAAGTTGACTGACCATGTGGCGATACTGGGTTGGTGTCTGTTATATGTGTCAGCATTTGCATGTGTGGGTTTCCTGTGAGAGTGGAGAGAGAGGAGGTGGGGTGGGGTGGGCGGGGGCGCATGTGTGCTCATGTTTGTGCGTGTGTGTGGTGTGCGGGGGTGGCTGCCTGCATGCCTGTGTGTGAGGCTTGTTTACTGAGCTGCCATTTTTATGTGTGTCAGAGTCAGAGATCTCCCAGTGACACACACTGTTTTTGTTCTCCTGATGCATAACCTATATTATCAATGGCTCAGCACAGCATGACCTCCTTTCATCCCCTGGCCCGACTCCAGTCTAGGCCTAGGCTATATTCTGAGCACAGGCCTGAGATAGCACTCACTCACTCACTCACACACACACACACACACACACACACCAGAAATCCTACAGCTTGGCTGCATAGGTTGTGCTAATGCTGTGTGTGTCTCACATGTATTCTCTTTACTAGGACAAAGAAGAGGTGTGCAACACAAGCAGCCCTTTCCTTGTTTGCTACATTTTTTCTGTCCCCACTTGTCTTTTTCCTCCCTCTTCCTCTGCCTCTTCACCCTCACTCTCCCTCCCTCTTCCAAACGTCTCTGCACCCTCTGCTTCCCTCCCTCCCACCGTTCCTTCTTCTCCTCCCTTTCCGAGCAAGTTTGGCCCAGGGAGACAGGTCGGCAGCGCCACTGATGTGTTACTGTCCCCATGGCAACCACCTCCTACCCCCTCTCTCTCTCTCCCCCACCAGCTCATTTCTCTCAAACACATGCGTGTGGGTAAACACGCACACATATGGTTACTCAGACATACACACACACCTCCTATGCCATCCAGTTCCCGGCTCTAGCGGGGCTTGTTTGTTCTGCACACCCCTGTGAGTGATATTTGGAGAGTCCCTATCCTGCTCCTATTTCAGTGCCTCCCTCACGCGGTGTTGATGTCTCTCAGCTAGGTGTGGTCGCCATCGCCATGGCATGCTATTGGCCCTTTCTGTTAAAGCCAGTGCCTGCGTCCCTGACTAGACATCTGCCTGGGCCACTGCGCCCTGCTCTCTGTGACTCTTGTCTGGCCTGAGGAGGCCTAAGACAGGCAGAGCTCCTGTATTCACTGGAGCCAATGTAGACAAGGACACATAAACAGGCCTAAAATTCTGGCAGATGCTATCTCCTTCAGGGAGGATGGAAGAACCACATCTATCCCTCACAGTATTCAAGCTAATTATCAAGTCTGCAGCAGAAGACTAACCCTTCACCATCTACCAGTCTTTACCGCACAACACAAACTGTGATTTTTTTTTTTTTTAAATCTACTGTACCAAAACACAAGTCCTTCATCATGTTCTCTTCCATTCCAAAACACAAACATCTTGCCAGTTACTTAATGTACTTCCACCTTAAACAGACTTGGCTCCAGCTAACCTTCTCCTGTCAATCAACTCCAGGGTTTCACTCACATATACCTCTGCTACCAGCCACGGCTTACATGTTTGTTTTTTTGCATCAGAACATCTTTCCACCACCATTTCAAGGCTTTACACAAGAAAACCTTTAGGACAGTGTTCCTACAGTGTCATTCCATCTGCTCCTGAGTCCCATTTGGGCTGCTCTCAGGTCACGAAGCGGATGGCTGCGTGGGTTGCAAACGGCTGTATTGCTGCGGCCGCTGCCAGTGCATGCATTATAAACTGGGTTGCTAAGAAGGGGAGGGAGAGAAAAATGGCGGAGCATCATGCTCTCTGCTGTCCAACCTAAAATGGCTGACATCACAAGCTGTTAACCATTCAAGCAGAGCAAGAGGCCGCTGCTGCTGCTGCTGACCCAAACCTGCTCACTCTGAACGTGAGTGGATCACACTGCTCTCTCCCAAGAGTGTAAAAAGGTTCTTGAGCAGCAGCTGACTCTGGTTTGTGTGGTCATACTTAGTAGAGATCTGCAAGTAAATTGTCATTGCATGGGTCAACACAGAGAGAAGATGAAACTCACCAATGAAAACTCATGACTGAAGAACCGACACACAGACACACACACTGTTTCATTACAAAATAAGCTGACATCAGATGCTTAAAAACTAATAAAGCACAGCAAAAAGCATCTCACGATGTGGCATGAACAAAACTCCAAAGCTAAAATGTGATCTCATTAAGTGTTGTACTGATTAATCCTTTCACACAGAGCAACTCTGTGTCAGACATGAACCTGAAACTAGGGGAAAGGCAGGGAGAAATGGAGAAAGAGGGCAGGAGGGTGGTGATTTAGAGGGGTAAGCAAGGGGTAAGTCAGATGTACAGCCACAGAGCTCAAGCATCACCACCACAACATAATGAAATGAGGCACAGCAACAATAACACAACATTTGTAGAGACGTTATGAAGAGCCAACATCTCCTAACCTTCATGTCCAAGATGACCTTCACATAATCAAACTAGGTGTTGTTATTTCACTTTAGGAAATTGTGTTCTTGTTAGAGTTAAAGGTGTGCCCAGGCTGATAAATAAATAGCAGGATTAAGCTGCAAGTCTGTGCCTTGGATTCACGTGGACACTAGACACAAATTAGCTCTCTGGGAAAGCTTTGCTCTAATCCCTAAAGACACACACTCACGACAACACCGACATGATAAATAACCAAGGCAACCGCGTGCAAACTCATAACTGACTACTGGGCAGCGTGGAATAAAGCATGGGCGCTGTTTATGGAAGCCGTGGCATCCTTGAACACAGATGTTAGATAAACATTTTATCAGCAGTGAGAAAAACACAGATATAGTCCTAATAACATAAGCTCGTTGTTGACACGCAGTAAAACACCTGTACATTTTTCACAAATGAACAATGAAAAACAATATTAGTCATAAGTGACTGGAGATCAAAGTGATTCTAACTTCTTCATTCATAGCACAGACTTAAGAAATGAGGAAATTCACCGGCTGCTTAAACAAAAAATCTTAGTTTGGCTTTGAAATAAACCAACAACATGCCACTTTAACTAAAATGAGAACATTGCTTCTAAAAACGTGAGCTGTATTTCGTGAAACAGCACAGAGTGGTTACTGTAACGCTAGTCCCTGAGCGCAGCGGCGTCAAACGTTTACGAAAATGATGCGTGTTCATCTTCCGCCCAAGTTAGGCGGAGTGAGCCCCAACTTAATGGGCTCGTCTACAGAATATGTTTGAAACACTGTGATTAATTCAGAGTATAAGAAAAGACAAGCCCCCCCAACCCCAAACTACTCTCTCTCTCTCCCCCGTTGGTTGTCGCCATTTTAAGCAGGCGACATGCAGCTGGCCAGCAATGCTGAGCCGAAGCGCAGCCCCGTAAAGATAACGCTTGACAATAGCTCTCACACAAGTTTAGGAAAGGTGAAACACTTTCACCAATGTGTATAAGAAAACCACTCACTCACCTGGCTTTGACGGAGCTCGGTGTATGCAGCGTAGGATTAAAAAAAAAAAAAGTTTACAATGATATGGGCTCAGTGGAGGCAGACACGTACGGGGGGTTTGGGCTTCACTGATGGTAACTTATAGGTGTATGCCCTCTCTGTCCATCGGCTGGTGATAAGTGTGACACTGGAACCAGACCGGTCCCTATAACGGCCGCCTTTTGCGCTTGTTTATTTCGAGTAGCTTTCACTGCTGGAGCAGGCTGTGGAAAGGAGGAAAATACGACGGACGTACAGAGGGAAGAGATGGGCACGTGATGCAGACGTCACTGACGGTGGAGTTGGCGTGAGGGCTCGAGCTTCGCCGTACAGAGAACAGAAATGAGGCAAACATCCCATCCTGCCTTTGACCCGACACCACATTAGGGTCGTGGTCAAGTTCTCGATAGGGGAAAGACTCTTCACACTCTCGGTTAAACGTGATGTTACAGCGACTCACACCTGTCCTCCTCCCAGGTGACCTCTCTTAAAGAGATAGTACCGTCATTACGTCTGCATTCACAACAAAGCAGCTACTGTGAGCGCATAGACAAGGTCCTATATAGATATATAAATATGACTGGTCGTTCACAATCTCAGTAGGCTATCACAAACATTAAAAAGCTGTATCACAAACAAGACGTTCATCGAAAATGCTTCACTTTCAAACCCAAATTTGTCCCACATTTTAGAAATCATTACTTTAGAGAAATAAGTTAGTCGTTTACAAAAAGTCTAACCTGCTTTCTTCAGCCTTTATTCCAGTCTAGTCCTGGTGCGAAGCATTTACTGTGTGGCCCCAGTTGCCTCCAAGTAAATGGCACCTTCATCATATTTTGCACAGAGACGCAGAAACCAATCAGAACTCATACACTGGAATTCACATATTAGGCTATTTACTGTAAATTTACTGTAAATTTACTACTGCGTATTGCATTTGCAACATATGAAGCCATTGTAAGATTATAACAGATGTTGTATTAAGGTGTTTTTATTATGCATGCATTCATATAGACTCAAAGATATCACATACCCTACATCTTTATGAATGAGCCATTACTAAGTGGGTTGGTTTTACACACTTACAGTATCTCAAATCTGGGTGTTTGAAGAAAAGCTATTTAAAGATACTGATTATATGGCACCATGTCAGAATATATACAGATACTAATGTCCTACAAAATATGTTGAAATGTAACTTATGGTGTTAACATCTTAATTGTAAGGTCTGTGGCAATTTCAAATTGATCCATATATTTATACGAGAGTTTTCATTTCCACTTCATGGAATAACTTAAAAAATCTTATATTTTTCCTATAAACAAATCACTTTCTTTACACTGCTCTATTAAGTCATATGTAAATTCAATAAGTCAGTTTCATGTTGTCATCTTAAATCAGTGCTGATCAAAGCAGGATGAGTCCATCATCATCATAAACGAAGCCCTCTGCTGGACAGCGAAGAATAGGACAGAAATCTCACAAATGTATGACAGTTAGAAACGTTTTAAGATATTTATAGCCTCAGTGGCTCCCACAAGTAATAGCTGAATTAAAATGAAGGATTTAATTTAGAGACCTGAAGAAGGACAGTATTTCTAGTATTTCACAAGAAAATGTAGAAAACTAAATTTGAAGAATAGAAGAATATTTTCCTCCTCCCTGGTACTTGGAGAGGTCATGAGTCTCAGGCTGGGAATACCTTCTTTCTCCAGATACTTTTACAAAATAAATTAGCATATTTTGAAATTATGCACGTCAGGTTTTATGGTTTCTAATGAAAGACTTGAAGCAAACATTATAATAATGAATTGTTTTTTTTTTTTGATTGATTGATCAGTGGATAAGATATTAGAAAATATGATTTGACCTATTTCCTGAGTTCTAAATGACCAGAAATCAAAACCCCTCAACGATAGATTTTGCGCATAGGATGTTATAAAAGTGGGACCATGGACATACTGTTATGATGTCGTTAGCACCCACACCACCGGGGGTCGCTGTGGAGAGTGTCATTTCTGACGATAGGTACGCGGAGACGTCGCACTCTCTCATTGGCTGTTGGTGGCTGGGGTCAAACTACTTTGCGCATGCTCAGATTGCCTTTTTTGGTTCGCGTCTGAGTTCTGTCAGATCAGCGGTGCGGACGTTCTTCTAATACCCTCAAATATTTCACTCTACTTTTTTCCCTTAGTCAGTGGTAGATATTTAAATCTAGTTTGAGGAGTCATCAGGTTTGCATTCTAACTCTTCGACGTCTGTGGCCGAAGGAAATAGCGAAGAATGATGAGTAGCTCGAAGCGGAAAGAAGAAAGTAATCTGCTGAATGGGGGTGTAAAACAGTCCACATGGAGCAAAGCCTTCAGTAGCAATGCGGTTTGGGAAGAGAAGGTCAGTCAACTGTCTTGTTAGATTTTAGTATATTGTTGTCGTCAGAGTTCACAATGCACCTAATGTGTTGCCAGGTGTTCATAAAGATGGTTATCTGATCTGAAGCTAGCTGTTATGCTAAGAACTATTTTGGTTTGGCTGGGTTACCTGCCAAATCCAAAGGCACACTATTAATTACCTCGGCGCGTTAGGCTTAAAACAAACAGAAGTCGACGAGATTTAAATAGTGTTGGGGTTTATGACTCCCTACTCACTGAATTCAAGGGATCCAGTCACTCAGATATTCTTTATTTTCCCCATAAATGTGTTGTGCTTTGAAGCTGCAGCTAAATGTACTTATGTGTTTTTTTTTAATTAGTCGTTTATCTGTTTGTTTGAAAAATGTGAAAAAGTTAGAAAAATGCCTACTAACAGTTCAAAAGTCTAAATATCAAAGATATTCAGATTGTTATAATGTAAAATGTAGAAAAGCAGTAAATTCTCTGAAAGAATGCTTGGCCTTTTGCTGAGGCGCATAAGGCACCTTTACATCTGCTGACAACTGAATTTTCTGTTGACTGACTAATTGGTAAATCCAATAAAAGATTCACTTTTATACGTTTTGTGTCATAGTTTGCTTTCACAACAGTTTATTTCCCCTCACCACAACCTCAGCCCAAACCCCTACCTATAACCTAAGTTAACCTTAATAAAGCCTTAACCCAATGGCAGACACCTTCTGAGGGAGAAACACACTTTCACACAAGACTGGCGTTTCAGTGTTAAACGTTAATTTATTCCTGTTATGAACAGTGTTATTTGTTTTTCCGTCAAAGGAGCAAGACTAGTCCTGAGTACCTGCATCAGGGCTGCATATTGTTTACCCATCACACAAATGCTAAAATAGGCTTCCCGCATAAGAAACAGGAAATTAAAGAGAGAATAATGCACTACACTGGGCTACTGCTTTTCTGCTTGGCGGTGTTTTAGTAGGGATATCACACCATTTCAACCCATTTATTTTCTTTTAATCAAGTCTTGTGTTTCCTTTTCCAGGATGAGTTTTTAGATGTGATTTACTGGCTCCGACAAATTATTGCAGTAATCCTCGGTGTGATATGGGGCATTGCTCCTTTGAAAGGATTTCTGGGAATAGCCATGTGAGTATTCTTTCATCTTTCTTCCACTCAGCCTCTTCATCATGTTATCCTACAGAAACACTGGATAACTTATATCATCTTATGTTTTCTCTGTTAGATTCTGCATCATCAACGCTGGTGTCCTTTATCTATACTTCAGCAGTTTTCAGCAGATTGATGAGGAAGAGTACGGTGGCACGTGGGAACTCACCAAAGAAGGCTTCATGACATCTTTTGCTCTGTTTCTGGTGGGGATGCTAATTAAATCATGCCACACTGAACTGGCATCTTATGCCTGCCTACTTTCTAGATTAAACAAGATCTAATTTGGACTTTTCTATCTGACCAGGTGTTGGATGGTTTCTGATTTGTTGGAACAGATGTAATAGCTAAAGTCGTAGACTTAAACCTGTGTCTTCATGTCTAGTATGTTGTGTTATTGTGTAGAAGTGGTATATTTCAAAGGTTAGGGTTGAAAAGGCAGTTTGCATCCATTTCTAATTAGTTCTTTTTAATCTTTAAGCTATTAAATTGACAGTATTTCTCCATTTAAAAGATGTTCAAGATCCAAAGTTGAAAGTTTTAGTGAGTATTAGAGTGCTGATTTTGTTTTGAGGTGTACAGCATCTGTAACATGTAATGAGTACCTTAGATGTGATGACAGATGTGAGCTCACACCTCTGAGTCTGTCTTTAAACAGATTTCCCTGTTGTCTTGTTTCCTGCAGTGTCGTGAAAGGATAGTAACATAAAGAGGCGCTTTTGTACAAAAAAAGCCTAACTTTGTAATATACTCACTTCCTTGGTCTAACCCTGAAACTTCGTAGTAGCTTCAGAATCATGGAATTTGTCCTCCATCACATTAGGAAGGGATTTCTTCTTTGCCATTATGAACAGAAGGGATGGCCAAAAAAGGTTTCAGTGTACAGATAGGCATGGAAGTACTGTTTTAAAATAGACTTGAAAAAATGTGAATCTGTCCTTTAATGGCATAGAGTAATAGCATAGTGTAATTTCATTTTAAGTAGCACTAGTAGTATTACTACAGTCATAGTAATATTGGTCATAATTCTGGGGCTAATCAGCAAATGCTTGTGTTAGCCAGTATTTAATGCATTTTGTATGTTAATTGGGTTCCAAACACAGGGTTTTTTTTTTTTTGTCCATGTCTTAACATGATTTGATTATTAGTGTCTAATCTGCCATTTCTGGTCTTTAACAGGTGGTGTGGATAATCTTTTACACAGCTCTACATTATGACTGAGATGGATCCATAGGACACTAAATATAAACATTTCTGTTGAAGCAAGTTGTCAAGACACAGGAACTCCATGGCATGAGGGGTTTGAATACTCCTACATACAGTATGACTTCACAGTGTGCAGTGCATCATGGGAATCCTAGTTTGAATATCAAGATACAGCAAGACCATCGTGATAAACCTGTTCAAATAATGTAGGTCTCTCTAAATTGAGGGCTCCTTTTTGAGGCACTTTCCATTACACTTATCATTTGTTATGTCCTCCTCCACTTCATTGTCATACTTTGTAAGAAAACACTGACACTGGTTGCAGTCCAACTTGTATTGTAACAGTACAACAGAATGAGGATGCTTTCTTTTGGTGGGCTTACTGCAGAGCCTTTCTTCTCATTTAGAAGCGTGACATGAACCAAAACAACTCGTATGTGTATCCATCCCAGTTTACTGCTGACAAGCTGGTCACTCAAATTCCAGGAGCAGGGCAATAAAACAAAGTCATTATATAGTCATTAGGGTTCATTGTGTTAACTTTGCATTTCAAGACAAAATGTACCATGTCAGATTAACTCATGTACCAGTAAGGGATTAATTCTTTGGCTTTAGTGTTAAATCAACCCTCTGATATTTCACTTCAAAATTATGTTTGCCTTTTTGAGAATTTATTCTGGCCCTGGCAAAACAATTACATAAAAACTGGCGTGGCGTAAGCATGTTACCGTGCCTGTGGTAGCTAACCACAGCTGAAATCTGGCTTGTGATAATTTTAACAGCTAAAACAAATGCTGGTTGTACGAGAGACGTATCCGTCAATACCCGAAATAAATGCCAGTATCAGCTATTGATGCACTGTTACTTCAGTCAGGAATGAACTGTTTAAGTTATCTGACCATGCAAATTCTCAAAGTAAAGAGAGAGAAAACATGCATGTTGTGCTCAGATGCAAATGTCCAGTTTTAAGCTAAAACCTGGTCTGTGCACTGCTGTATTTTGCTCTCTGTAGTGGTCATTAATTAATGGTATTTGTTGGGATGATAGGAATAATTTAAAGTTATTATTTTCTCACATGTAGCTTCCAGATCAAAGTCTTACCTGTTGTTTTGAAATTAATTTAAACTTGTCTGTAAATTCTGTACATTGTCCATTTATCGAATCCACATTGTATTACACAGATTTATTTGTACTTGTGTTATATCTTGTTTGATGTAACATATTTCTCAGTATTTTATAGTGAAAATCTTTTTAAAACTGTTCTTGCAAAGTTATTGTAATGACACTTATATTAGATATGCAGCTGGTGTTTGAAATGATTGTATTTTCTGATCAAATCTTTTGGGAATCATTAAACATGGGCTTTATTTGGCCTCCATTTTCAAGGACATATCTTTAGTTAGTTTTTGTCAGATGGTTCATTCAGGAATTGTTAAACATCTAAAACGTTTTATTACAGTTTCTGATCTTAGTAAAGCTTAGTTACTATGACACTGGCTTGTTCGCTGTCATGTCCGAGATGTAGTTGAGTTGCTGGGTCTGGTATAGCTTTTACCACAGGCGGAGACATTTTACTCCAAATACTTCCAGTTCTCTTATTAAAACGCTGTGCTCTCGGCTCGCTGACATAGTGAACGTTAACCACAGGTACAGTGTGCTAACATTCATTTTTTAGAGAGGCAGCTGAATAACGAGCAAATAAAGTATTATTGCTGATGAGTAGCCTACTTATTAATATAATTACTTTTTCAATGACTTTTAAGTAATTTCTCCAACACTGCTTGTTTGTGGGATGAATTTATTGTTGATTTGGTCTTTTTATGGAATTTGTTGTCAACAACAAAAAAATACAAAATAAACAGCTATCCCTTATGTACAATATTCTATTTTATTTGATATTTTTTTCTTAGAGGATATATTACTTTTATTCTAGTCTGTAATTGATTTTTACCACGTTTTTCCTGCTACAGAGTCGAGTTTTTACATAGAGAACAATTCAGTTTCATGTATTGGCGCCTATAATGACACCTGCTGGAGAAGGTGTAGGTTCATCCAACCAGATGGCGCATTTTAATTTGTTTTCACTGTAACATTCATAAAAATTCTGTTTTTAAAAAAATCCTGACGTAATTCACGCATTAAAAAAAAAAATCTGTGACGTAGTGTCCAAGATGGCGGCGCCCCTCTCCACGATGAAATTTTGGAAGCCGGGTAAGTAAGAAAAACAAACTACATAGGCATTTGGTGTAGGGTTTTCGGATTTATATTCATTAACGTAAAGCTTTTAATGTGAACCAGTCAGTCCAGGTTTGGCTGCAGTTGTCTTCACAGCAGCTGCGCGGTATCTGCATCCAGCTCGGTTCGGGTAACGTTAGCTCTGCGGAATCAAACGTAACCTGCTAAAATGCAAAATAAAGGCTGTGAGGCATGAAGTATGACAGCGACACGAATACATGCGACTAGTGAAAGGCTTTCACGCTCATGGGTCTCTCATTTCATGTCAGGCTATTGCATTAAAGCCTGGCTTTCATTTCCTCATTAAAATCTCAACCAAAACATCTTCTCCTCACCTTGGCCATCTGCTCTGCTCTGCTCCAGGGTCTGAGGCACCGGGGATCTCAGAGGAGCGGGAGCTCAACACAGAGACCACCGGCTCCCCCGTTATTTTCAACCCGCACACCGCCCTCTCCATAGAGAAACAACGACAGAAACTCCCCGTTTTCAAGGTGTCACACCTGCTTTTAAACACACCTGAATGCAGCTGTAGGGTGACTTTGGCAAAGTCAGCAGTGGGTTGAACGTGCTTGTGCATTTGTCAGTAGTCTTAAATGTTTGTTAATGAGCTGTTGTGTCAATCATCTCTTTTCCAGCACAGAAACAATATCTTGTACTTGGTGGAGAGCTACCAGACCGTTATCATAGTTGGTGAGACCGGCTGTGGGAAGACAACACAGTTACCTCAGGTTAGTTTAGTTTAGTTCATGCAACATTTTGGCACCTTTGAGCTGGATTCTAGCATTTGTTGCATCTGCTACTGACAAGGGCAAAATATTGTCATTAAAAGTCACATGTGTGCTAAATCTCATGACACCAAGGCACCACATTGCACAATACCCTTCATGCTACCTAGCTCCCATTGTGGTTTTACACAACCTTGTCTCTATGCTTAGTAGCCTCTTTTTAGAACCTGCTGTTCTGCAGCATCAATATCTCCATCTCATGCTTTGCTTTCCTTTTCTGGACCCACATTCTCCTTTCCTCTGACTTCTTTCAGTACCTGCTGGAAGCTGGCTGGGCAGCGGAGGGGAAGGTGATTGGAGTGACGCAGCCTCGGCGTGTGGCTGCTGTCTCTGTAAGAGCTCTCCTGATGTCCTGCTCAGCACACCACTGTTTTCCGGTGTTGTTTCACTGCAAGAAATTTGGTCCATACTGAAGGACATTTTTCCCTCTTTCCTGC